GTCTCAACAACATCGACGGGACAACCTGCGAAAGGAACAAGAAACATCGTCAGCTGCATGGCAAGGCTGAGTGACTCCTGCGTAACTGAGTCACCACCATATTACTCACCAGAAGAACAACTCGACAACAGCACGCCTCGCCGCGAGTCACTTCAACCGAACCCGACGTACGCCGCCATCGCTCAAAGCGAGCCGTCCGGGAAGGATACATGGTTCTTGGACAGTTGCTGCGGACAACATATGTGCTCTTCAGGACGTTTCGTTCAACGCGAGCACCAACTTCAACGAGAAGTCGTCATCACTGTCGCCAATAATCAGAACCTGCGCACACGACGACAAGGAGTAGTGCAACTTCAGTCACGAGAGACGAATGTCATACTGCAAATGTCCAAAGTCCTAATAGCAGAAGGACTTGGCTACAACTTACTGAGCGTCAGTCAGTTGATGGCGAAAGGCATACATCTGGAAACCGACAGTACCACCCAGGAGTTCAAGCTGTACCACGGGAAGGGCGGCCTCTACATCGGAAAGGCGGTCCTGAAGAACAATGTCTTCGTTCTCGATTTCGTCCCAGACCTGGGCACCGCAGACAGTGACGGGATCGTCACCTTCACATCTTGGACGCACCCGCCGGATCTCGACCCCGACTTCAGTCCGGAAGGCTTTTGGTATTCACATACCATTCCTGAAGCAGAACGAACACGTGCGTTAGTAACAATACAACATCCGGCAGCAGCAGAGACAACATCGGCAGCAACAGAGACAACATCGGCAGCAGCAGAGACAACATCGGCAGCAGCAGAGACAACATCGGCAGCAGCAGAGACAACATCGGCAGCAGCAGAGACAACATCGGCAGCAGCAGAGACATCATCGGCAGCAGCAGAGACATCATCGGCAGTAGCAGGAACAACAACAGTAGCAGCAACAACGACACCACTCCTCGTTGACGAAGCACCACCAACACCCGCACAGCAGCTGAATCCGGCTCAACGGGAAGTCCATAGAAGCGCAAAATTCACCGCCAGCTTCTACTCCAACTCCGACGCGTATCGACGCTCACCCGGACACCGCGCCTCCGAAGACATCTGGCACGCACGCATGGGACACCCAAGCAACACTGTGTTAAACAACACAATAAGAGCAGGAGTCCTTGACAAGGACTCGTTACTACTACTCGACGGCAGAGAACTTCAACGGGCACGAGGAACATGTCTTACCTGCCCCGAAGCCGACTTACCACATCGGCCGTTCACTCCTCATCACAACCCGAGCACACCCGCGTACGCACCACTCGAAAAGGTGTATAGCGACATCCTGTACAATCGGGAACCAGGACAAGTAATATACAACTACACAATCACCTTCATCGACGCCGCCACCCGTTACGTCTGGCATCTAAACCTACCCAGCCGCGACATGGTCCTCGAAGCATTCGCTGCTTGGCTACCAGTAGCAGAAAGAGAGTCAGGCGTAAAGCTGAAAAGCTTCCAGTCTGACGGAGGAGGAGAATACACCTCTCAGCGATTCAAGCAGTACCTGGCGGAAAGGGGAATCAAGCAGCTCCTCTCTCTTCCCTACGCCCATCAGCAGCAAGGTGTAGCAGAAAGAATGAACAGGACTCTGCAGAACAGCATGCGCAAACTGTTGCGTGGCATGCGGCTACCCAACCACCAGTGGCCTGACGCGATGGACCACGCTGTCATGCTGCACAACTTGCTCTCATCTTCATCACTACCGAACAACGCATCACCGCATCTGCTGTGGACAGGAAAACAGGGCAGCACAAAAATGTTACGAGTGTTCGGATGCATGGTACAGTACCGACCCCCAGCAGCACGAGCGGGCCGATTTTCACAACGCGCACAGTGGGGACTACACCTCGGCATCGAAAAGAACTACAACGCGTGGAAAAACTTTGACGTCCACTCCAAGGAAACAGTAGCAGCACGCGACGTCATTTTCTACGAACGACTCACGCTCCAGACATACCTTGCCAACCTGCAAGAGGACCAAGATCCCACAGTTGGTTTTCGTGGTGACCGAGCCTTCGCCTCGGCAGTAGACGAAGCTGACTGGGACGAGCAGAATGTGGCCAACGCATCAGAAGAAGCTGGACCCCTTCCGTTCTGCTCCGTCGACGTCCCCATGGACGAAGATAACCCTCGCGAAAGTGTCAACGCCGAAACCTTCTACTACTTCGCCGACAACGGTTACGTAACACCTGCGACAGTCAACACCAACGAAGCAGAACGAGTAGGACCGAATTTCATCCCTGATCCAGAAGCGGGAGATGAAGCAGCTTATCCCGAGGATGCAACTCTTCCCCGCTACTCACAGACTGGACTGCAGATTCTCGGACTCGTCACTGCAGTCCACGGCAACACTCTTCCTAAGGAGCCTGCGACGGTTCAGCAGGCTCTGGGGGGGGAACACAGGGAAAAATGGCGTGAAGCCATGGACAGAGAGTTAAAGGCGCTGGAGGAACGGAACACCTGGAAAGTTGTCCCCATCAGCGTGGCAAGGAACAAGACCATTCTCACCGGGAAATGGGTCTTCCGCGTTAAAACAAAAGCAGACGGCACAATTGAGAAGTTCAAAGCACGCTGGGTTGTGCGTGGATTCGATCAGGAGCACGGACGGGACTTCACCGAGACATTCGCCCCGGTTAGCCGACATACCTCACTTCGAATCCTCCTCGCGATCGCCGCCATGAAGAAAAGGAATCTACGGCAAATCGATGTCGCCAACGCGTTCCTCTACGCACCTGTCGACGTGGAAATCTTCGTCGAGCTCCCACACGGTACCAACGGGGAACCTAACCAAGTCTGTCAACTGCTGAAATCACTTTACGGGATCAAGCAAGCTCCGCGGCTATGGCAACAGTACCTACACGCTCGCCTCATTCGCATCGGATTCCGCCAACTACCTCACGACCAAGGAATGTACCGACTCACTAAAGACACCGACTACATTCTGCTGATCGTCTACGTAGACGACCTACTCTACATCGGCTCCACTGACGACATCACCACCTGGTTCGAAGGGGAGCTACAGAGGGACCTCACACTCACGGTCTCCTCTACCGTCACACAGTACCTCGGCTTGAACATTCGGGAAGAAGAAGGCGCGATCTACCTCAACGCCGCTAAATACGCCGACACCATCGCCAAACGCTTCGCGCTCACACCTACCACCATCTCTACGCCCTACCGCTACACGACAGGAAACCACAAGGAAGGATCCTCTCTACTCAAATCCGACGGGATACGCGACTACCAGAGAAAGCTAGGATGCCTTCTCTTCGCAGCTGTCACCTGCCGCCCCGACCTCTCATACTCCGCAAGCCAGCTCGCCACCTACCTCAAGAAGCCTGAAGCAGAACACCTGGCGGAGCTCGACCGCGCTCTCCACTACTTCGTCAGTACCTCAACGATCGGCCTAACTTACTACAAGAACACAACTACACCGACTAAATTAATCGGCTACGTCGACGCTGATCACGCTGGCGACTCCGACAACAGGCGCTCCCGCACCGGCTACATCTACCGCCTCGAACCTATCGGACCGATCTCCTGGCAATCGAGCAAGCAGGAATTAATTGCTCTCTCGTCAGCTGAAGCAGAATATATTGCACTCTGCTCAGCCACCAAGGAAGGACTCTATCTTCGCGAGCTGCTGGAAGAAGCGAAGTTAGCCGAGTTACCCAACTTCACTCTGTTCTGCGACAACCAATCTGCAATTCGCATCGCCAACAAAAATGGATTCGCGAACAGAACGAAGCATATCGCTCTGCGATATTTCTTCGTGAAAGACGAGATTGAGAAGGGGAGACTTGAACTATCCTACTGTCCCACGTCCGAGATGGCAGCTGACTACTTGACCAAGAAGCTCGGAAAACACAAGTTCGAGTACTGCATGCTGCTGACTGGACAAAGCCACGTCACCAGCAGCGACACTCCAGAAGCGAAGGGGAGTGTTGGGAACAAACAATCTTAAGCGCCTCTGTCGTGTCGAAACACCAAGGCACAAGCGAAGCAGAGCATATCGAGGCACCAGCGAGTCAACCCTCGGAGGTTGAAGTAACCGCTGGAGGTTACGCGAAAGTCAAAGGTCAGCGACCTTTGACTTGACAAATGCAGCGCGACAGCAAGGACACACAACTGACTCGACATTGAGCAGTTGCCCGAGTCGCACTGTATCGAACCGCAACAGTAAAACAGTTTAATTATATCTCTTCGTATTCTTTGTACTCTTATATAAACCTTTGTACTTGCTTATTTTAATCAACTTACTTTGCCCTCACATACCAGCGCAAGGTGGTTCAAGGACTTCATTTAAACGCTTCCGCTACTACATCACTCTACCCAGAGTTTAACCCTACCAAAGATCCTAAGGGGCACTCAGCCCAACAGTTTTGAGACGTCTCAAAATCGAAACATTTGCACCTTCAGTCCTAGCCCATCCCCAAACATCGTTTTGAGACGTCTCAAAATCGAAACATTTGCACCTTCAGTCCTAGCCCATCCCCAAACATCGTTTTGAGACGTCTCAAAATCGAAACATTTGCACCTTCAGTCCTAGCCCATCCCCAAACATCGTTTTGAGACGTCTCAAAATCGAAACATTTGCACCTTCAGTCCTAGCCCATCCCCAAACATCGTTTTGAGACGTCTCAAAATCGAAACATTTGCACCTTCAGTCCTAGCCCATCCCCAAACATCGTTTTGAGACGTCTCAAAATCGAAACATTTGCACCTTCAGTCCTAGCGCATCCCCAAACATCGTTTTGAGACGTCTCAAAATCGAAACATTTGCACCTTCAGTCCTAGCCCATCCCCAAACATCGTTTTGAGACGTCTCAAAATCGAAACATTTGCACCTTCAGTCCTAGCCCATCCCCAAACATCGTTTTGAGACGTCTCAAAATCGAAACATTTGCACCTTCAGTCCTAGCCCATCCCCAAACATCGTTTTGAGACGTCTCAAAATCCAAAAATATGCACCTTCAGTCCTAGCCCATCCCCAAACATCGTTTTGAGACGTCTCAAAATCAAAGCATTTGCACCTGTAGTCCTAGCCCATCCCCAAACATCCCCAAACACCTGTAGTCCCTGCCACCCTTATACCCTGCCACCCTTATACCCTGCCACACTTGTACCTCCTGCCCTCCTCCCTTACTCCGTTCCGTCGTTCCCCCACAGTCCTCCTTTCCCTCTCCCTTCCTCCCTTCCTCCATTTATCTGCCTCACTACCCTCTTTACCCTCTCTGTTGCCCGTCCTCCCTTCCTCCATCTCTCTGCCTCACTACCCTCTTTACCCTCTCTGTTGCCCGTCCTCCCTTCCTCCCTTCCTCCATCTCTCTGCCTCACTACCCTCTTTACCCTCTTTGTTGCCCGTCCTCCCTTCCTCCCATCCTTCCTTCCTGCCATTCTTCCTCTCCTCATCCTCCCTCTATCCAGTCCCCCTTCCCCTTTCCATCTCCCACTCTCCCACTCCCTTCCTCACGCCAACTCCCGTCCTCCGTTCCACCCTTCTACCTTCCCCCTTGTACCCAGCCGCAATTTTTCCTCTCATCCGCCCATCATCTCATCCGCCCATCATCTCATCCGTCCATCATCTCATCCGCCCATCACCTCATCCGCCCATCCTCTCATCCGCCCATCATCTCATCTGCCCATCGTCTCATCCGCCCATCACCTCATCCGCCCATCAGCTCATCCGCCCATCCTCTCATCCGCCCATCCTCTCATCCGCCCATCTTCTCATCCGCCCATCATCTCATCCGCCCATCATCCATCCGCCCATCATCTCATCCGCCCATCATCTCATCCGCCTATCATCTCATCCGCCCATCACCTCATCCGCCCATCATCTCATCCGCCCATCATCTCATCCGCCCATCACCTCATCCGCCTATCATCTCATCCGCCCATCATCTCATCCGCCCATCACCTCATCCGCCCATCATCTCATCCGTCCATCATCTCATCCGCCCATCCTCTCATCCGCCCATCATCTCATCCGCCCATTATCTCATCCGCCCATCATCTCATCCGCCCATCATCTCATCCGCCCATCATCTCATCCGCCCATCATCTCATCCGTCCATCCTCTCATCCGCCCATCATCTCATCCGCCCATCCTCTCACCGTCACCCACGCTTCTGCCTTAGTGCCTTTCCCCGCTCTCTCTCCCCTACCCACGCTTCATCTCGCTCACCCTTCCGCCCTTCCTCCGTCTCCCTTGCTCATTTTCTGCCTCCGTGCATTCTTTGTTCCCCACCATGCATCAGAGTTTGTGGTTCGTGTATGTGCAGGTCTGCCATGCATCCAGTTGTGATGAGTAAAGGGTTTGATAATATTAGGCGTCTACAATAGCTATGCCATGTACCGTTATTGATGTTGGTTGGATGCGTCTCATAATACACCACATCGTGATTTGGAGCATTATGAAAAAGTGCAACAAAGCAAAATAATGTTCCATTTATGTTGCCAAGACAAGACTGTAAGCACAAGCACAAAGCTAGGAGGCGGTAACTTATCAACCCACTCTTGTTGGGACCCAAGGTGCTGGCACTTGTACAAGCATGGTTCTGTATGGAACGGGGAGGGAAGAGGGGATATGGCAGAATAAGCGAGGGTTGAAGGTGGAGGGAATGTATGGGAGGAGTTAGGCAGAGGAGTGAGCGAAGCGGGGAAGATGTTGGAAACATACCGTAGTTCGCGCTTCTGATGTGTCGAGCACTACAACAAAAGCGAAGCGAACTGAAGCGAAGCAACAGCGAGTCAACCAAAGCGGTTGACAGAAAGACAACAACAAGAGGTTGAGTGAAGGTCAAAGGTCAGCGACCTTGACTCGCCGAAAAGCAGCGCGACAGCAAGGACACATAACTGACTCAATATTGAGCAATTACCCGAGTCGTCGCTGTATCGAACCGCAACAGCAGTTACAGTTAGTGAAACTCTATAAAGCTTTGTATCTCTTTGCTATTATCAACTTATCTTGTTCTCACATACCAATGCAAGGTGTTTCAATTAGTTCACTATTACGCTTCCGCTAATACATCACTACTCTGAGACTTTAGTCTTGAAAACGATCCTAAGGGCTTTTCTCAGCAACGGAACTCCTAACGACAACAACAACGGAGTCACACTCATGAGCCTTGACGGTTCATCTTTTGCGCATGGAAATCAGCAGCCTACCTTCGCATCGTACGAGCCTCAACGCGGCTCCGTCAGCTTCATGCCGAATCGGCTCCCACCTGGACAAGAAACAAAGACTCTGGACGCACTTCAACTGCAGTCACAGTTTGCACACATCCTGAAACTCCAAACAACAACACCATTAGACGGCAAGTATTTCTATACCTGGTCCTTTGAGTTCGAGCTGATGATGGAAGGCGCTCAAATCCTTGGCTTCTTCGACGGTTCCTTGCCATATCCAACGCACGGGATGCAGTACGACAAACAGCAGTGCACGTATCAGTCACTAATGGCGTACATGTCAAAATGTTGTATAGCTTATATTATGTAGGCTATAGTGGGGTAGCCCATAAGGGGTACAATCCAATTAGGGTTAGTACTTGTACCCAACTCTTTGCTAGTTCATTCATTCTCGTTCATTATTCTGACATGGTTTCAGAGCAGGTCCTCCGCTAGGACCGTTTTTTTTTCCTTGGGCCCACCATAGCGCTACCCCGCTAGCCGCCCTCTGCAGCCCTCGTGCTGCCCCTGCTGCCCGTCGCGACCAGTCGACCCTAGGCCCGTCGCCCTAGGTCTGTCGCCCCGGCCCGTTGCCCCGGCCCGTCGACCCCCGACCTGTCGCCCTAGGCCCGTCGCCCCGGCCCCGAGGCCCGTCGCCCGTCGACCCCCCCCTCTAGGCCCCGACCCCCGTCGCCCGTCGCGGCCCGTCGCCCCTAGCCTAGGCTCCGGCCCCGCGGCCCGTCGCCCGTCGACCCTAACCTAGGCCCCGGCCCCGAGGCCCGTCGCCCGTCAACCCCCCTAGGCCCGACCGTCGCCTGTCGCCCCTAGCCCCGCGGCCCGTCGCCCCTAGCATAGGCCCCGGCCCTGCGGCCCGTCGCCCGTCGACCCCCCCTAGGCCCGACCCTCGCCCGTCGCCCCTGGCCCCGCGGCCCGTCGCCCCTAGCCTACGCCCCAGCCCCGCGGCCCTTCGCCCGTCGACCCTAACCTAGGCCCCGGCCCCTAGGCCCGTCGCCTGTCGACCCCCCCCCCCCACTGCCCCGCGGCCCGTCGTCCCTAACCTAGGCCCCGGCCCCTCGGCCCGTCGCCAGTCGACCCCCCCCCTAGGCCCGACCCTCGCCCGACACCCCTGGCCCTGTGGCCCGTCGCCCCTAGCCTAGGCCCCGGCCCTGAGGCCCGTCGCCCATCGACCCCCCCCCGCGGCCCCGCGAGCCGTCGTCCCTAACCTAGGCCCCCGCCCCGAGGCCCGTCGCCCGTCGACCCCCCCCCCTAGGCCCGACCCTCGCCCGTCGCCCCTGGCCCCGCGGCCCGTCGCCCCTAGCCTAGGCCCCGGTCCTGAGGCCCATCGCCCGTCGACCCCCCTTAGGCCCGGCCGTAGCCCGTCGCCCCTGGCCCCGCGGCCTGTCGCCCCAAACCTAGGCCCCGTGGCCCGTCGCCCCTAGGCTCCGGCCCGTCGCTCTCAGCCCCGCGGCCCGTCACTCCTGGCCCCTCGGCCTGTCGCCGCTAGGCCCCCGACCCGTTGCCCCTAGGCCCCGGCCCGTCGACCCCAGGCCCCGCAAGCCGCTTCTTGCGTGCTACTGCTGCTGCTGCTACTGCTCCTACTGCTGCTCTTCCTGCTGCTGCTACTGCTACTGCTGCTACTGCTGCTCCTACTGCCGCCCCTCTCAGCTGCTCCTGTGTACTGCGCCGCTATGGCCTCGCTTCGAGTTCTTGCGTTCGATCATGAGGGCAGATCGATTCAGTTTGACACGTGGCTCGACGACCTGCAGCTGTACCTACTGAGCGACTCTAGGGACAGTGTTTCGTTGTTTGACCACACGTCTGGCGCCGCTCCCGCCCCTCCCGCCACAGCTGTCAGTGCGACTCGTTCACAGTGGCTGACTCGCGACGCTACTGCCTGCTTAGCCATTCGCAACCACCTCCCGTTGGCCGAATGCGCTCACTTCGGACAGCACAGGACAGCGCAGACACTGTACGACGCTGTAGTCGCTCGCTACTCCTCGCCTGCCACTACTGCTCTAGGCCGCCTCCTGCCCTACCTGTTCCCCGAGCTGTCCGCCTTTGCCACAGTCGAGGACCTGGTTTCCCACCTTCGCGCTAGCGACGCTCGCTACCGCGCTGCCCTCCCAGCAGAGTTCCTTGATAGAAACCCGCCCCCGATGTACATCACTCTCTACTTTATAGTCACCCGCCTCCCTAACTCTCTGCGCTCTGTCACGGACCACTTCCTCTCCCTTGACCCCACCTCCCTCACTGTTGACCTCCTCGAGCAGCACCTCCTTGCAGCTGAGACTAGTGCAGTAGCTGTAGGTGCTGCTCGTGGCACTCCGCGCACGCCCTTCTTTGAGGGGTGCTCCCCCTCCCCCCTTGCCCCCTCCTACGCCTCTGCTGCTGCTGTAGACGTCCTTAGTACTGAGGATGTCGGGGCTGCTTCTGCTAGTGCGAAGCGCCGCAGCAGCAAGGGCAAGGGTGGCAGGGGTGGTGGAGGGGGCAGCAGGAGTGGTGGTGGGGGCACCAGTGGAGGCGGTGGCGGCAGTGGAGGTGGTGGCAGCGGTGGGAGTGGTGGAGGGAGTGGGGGCGTTGGTGGCAGCGGTGGAGGCAGCAGTGGGAGTGGCGGTAGTGGCAGCGGTAGCAGTGGTGGCGGTAGGACTGGAGCTCAGCGTGGAGGTTCTGGAGGAGGCCAGCGGCAGCGGCAGCAGCGTCGGAGCAAGACCCCTTCGCCCCAGCAGCTTCGTGAGTGGTTGTTTCAGCGTGGGGCGTCTGGGGTTAGTGTGAGCTGCCCGTATATCATTCGCACGGGTGACCGTGCTGGTCAGACATGCGAGAAGGCGCACACGCAGCACCGCTGGTTCTCCCGTCTCGACGACGCTTGGCAAGCTGAGTTTGGTGACGAGGTCGAGCGCCCCCACTGGGCAGAGCTGCTTAGGTCTGGTGTTGCGATCTTTGACCTAGACTATGATGCTATTCTTTCTGCTAAGTATGCTTTGTCTACAAAAGCTGACAGTGACTGTTATTGGTGTGTGCCGCCTGACCCAGGTATAGACGCTGCTGCTCTAGGTGCTAGTGAGTCTGTTCTCCCTGGTACTGCGCCTCCTGAGGCCTTGCACACCTTCACGCTGGACTCAGGTGCCTCACGCTATTTCTTTCGTGACAGCACCACTCTCACTCCTCTCCCTGCACCTGTCCCGGTCCGACTGGCTGACCCCTCCGGGGGCCCGGTTGTTGCCCGTTCCTCCATTGTTCTCCTGTGTCCGACGGTTCCGTCCGGCTCACTGTCAGGTCTTCACCTCCCCTCGTTCTCTACAAACTTGGTGAGTACCGCTGCCCTCCAAGATGCGATGGTCACTACCACCACTCTTGGGGGTCAGCGTGTGTCAATCTGCACGTGTACACGGACGGGTCGTCACCTGGCCACGTTCACTCGTCGGCCAGGGTCGAGTCTGTACACACTGGCTACCGAGCCTCCTTAGGTAGCTGCGTCTGCTCAGGTGTCCACATCAGGTCAGGTAGCACCCCCTTGCTCGTGTCGCCTCCTGTCGCACCAGACTCTTCTGTGGCACCACCGCCTGGGTCACCCCTCCCTGCCACGCCTTCGTGGCATGCACTCCCGTCTCCTTGTCTCTGGTCTTCCCAGGTCTCTGCCTCCCCTCCCACCCTCGCCTGCCACGCCCTGCCTTCCTTGCGACGAGGGGCGGCAGCGTGCCGCTCCTCACTCTTCCTCGTTTCCCCCGATGATTGCTCCCCTGCAGACTCTCCACATGGACGTGTGGGGCCCAGCCCGCGTCAGTGGACAGGGCCGCGAGCGCTACTTTATGCTGGTTGTTGACGACTACACGCGGTACACCATGGTCTTCCCCTTGCGCAGCAAGGGTCAAGTCGTTGATGTCTTGATCCCTTGGATCCGCACAGTCCGTCTCCAGCTCCGCGAGCGGTTCCGTGCGGACCTTCCTGTCCTACGTCTTCACTCTGACAGAGGTGGTGAGTTCTCCTCTGACCTCTTACGGTACTTTTGTCGTGGGGAGGGCATTCTCCAGTCGTTCACGCTTCCGGACTCCCCTCAGCAAAATGGGATTGCTGAGCACCGCATTGGCTTAGTCATGGAGGTGGCTCGTACCTCCATGATCCATGCGGATGCTCCCC